GTAGCGGTACCACTGACGGCGCCACCTTTGTTCGCTGCACCGTGGTACAGCGGCTGTGACTGTTACTGTCATTGTAGAAGACGCAATCCTACTAAAAACATTATTGCGACTGTTCCTTTGTAACAGTCTGTCCCGGTGATTCTTTGGAAGTTGTCACAGCAGTTACCCGTGACTTTTGAGTAACCGTGACAAGGTCACAGGTACGCAAATATCTGCCACCTAATGCCATCTAATTCGGATGCAGGTGGCAACAAATTGTTTTCAGATCTGCCGGAATTTGCAGTTCATTTACTTTGACTACATACATAGGTCTAATGCAGACCTTGAACTTTATTCAGTCAGCTAAACTTGGTCAACGCAAAGCTACGCAGCGGTATACGCTTATATACATATAGTTATATTAACTTTATTCTTATTTTTTATTTCTTATGAACTTCGATCCTAGCTGTATTATTCTATTATTAATTTTAATTTCAAGTAGTGTTTCAAATGAATTTCTTAAAATTATTTTAATATAAGCCTGTATTTCTTTTACTCGAAAATAGTTGGCAGCACTGCCTAAATATAACTCTGAACTATTTATCGTCTAAATGGCTAAAAAAACAATAACTCAGGTTGGCACAGTAAGTTTTCAAAAAAAACCCTCCGCTTTATGCCTGAGAACTTAAACATATCAATCGTTATGGACATGAGTATTTTCTATAAAAGTTTTTCTTGTAAATTTCGACAATATCTATGTGAGCGGAAAAACAGTATTTGTTGCATCCGAAAGTATAGCTGGTTCTTTTTACTGCATCAGTTCGTATTTCATTCCGCACACGTTATTATTAAAGTACATTCAGACTTTATAGCTTTATCGCAAATTTTGTGACGCTAATTTCCTTACTTGGCATTCGTAAGTGAACTAAGAACCAAAATGAAAAAAACACCGATTTTGTGTTTGAGTCTTCTAAGTTAAAGATTCGTGTATAAACCTTGATACTTGATTAAAAATGGCTTATTATATACAATTTCAAAACAAAGTGAAACGTTTTGGGTCACCCTGTGTGCAAAAATAAATTATTTAGAATTATTCACCAATTTATATACTAATAGCAAACATTTCTTCCTATTTTTCGTGCAGGTCATTTAAATGTAGTCAAATTATTGGTGGGCGCCAAGGCCAAACTCCAATTGCAAGATGAATATGGTCAGACAGCACTTCATCGGGCAGCTATACGTGGTCACTTGGAAGTTTGCAAATTTCTGCTCGAAAAGGATCCAAAATTGAAGGAAATTAAGGATAAGANAAAGTCAAAACGCAAACGAAACCGCTAAAAAATTTAAAAATCCAGTTGCATATATATACATATACAATGAAGTAGCAAAAATAGAAATGCTATCACAAAATATCTAAAAGCTGCATTTTTACACCAAAACACTAAGTAAGCGTACGTACATCACATTCATGGATTCAATTGCGAGCACATCTACTTATTTTCAAATATAAATATACATACATACATATTTGCAGTCTACACATTCTTCAGCACTTTTCTACACAGTGCGTACCTGTCCATATATATTTTTGCGCAACTATCATTGGAATAAATATTCGGACAATTGGATGTTTGGAATTCAAATTATTTTCATGTTTTATTGACACGTCTGCTTAATGGAACTTTCGGCATTACAAAATGCCAATTTAAACTACATACCTACATACATGCATATGTATGTATGTCGTGACTATTTTTATTTTATTTTGTAATAATCTAATTTCAATTAGTATATTCTAGAATACATATGTATATCTATTTTTAGCTACAAGCTACAAACAATTTTATTGATTTGTTGAGGTTGAAATTATGTTTGTTGCACTTTTTGAGCTTTTTTTTGCCTTTACTACACAGTATACATATGTATCTATATATTACCTTTATGTGTATGTATATTGAATACAATAACCATGCGTCGTACTCTGAGTTGCGTACTCAAAACGTTGTATTTTGTAGTTCAATATCATAAAAGTTTATACATATAAATGATGTGAGATCATTTTAAAAATACATACATACATAAATGCATTTCAAAAACTAATAAAATTTGATATCGATATATAAAATTTGATAAGAATAAATATATATTATTCTTCCTCTTAAAAGTTTAATTTTTTCATATATGTATGTACATACGTACAACAAACTTTGCCATCCATTTAGGAGGACTACATTCAGTATAACAAATTTGGGTTTTTTTTTCTTCTACTGTTAACACTTTTCTTTCAAATGCAATCTTGTATTAGGGTAACTCTAATATCATCTATATCATCAAAAGGTTTACCTAAGGAACACTTGAAATCGATTCTAGTACTCTGTATGCGAGTGTAAAGAGCTGCTTCTAATTTATGAATATGTATGTATACGTGTATGTGTATACTAAATTGTTTTCTACGCAAGATTTCCGACGTCAGATTCTCTATGAATGCAACTAAAAAATCATTCAGGTTAGAACGATTCCGTTGTTTTTTCAAACAAAGCCTCAAAATCCTCCAAAATATTTGATTTGCATAGCAAAGACTTTGTACCTTTATTTTAAGTTTTCAGCAAATACATATACATATATCACACGTTTAATAATATATATAGAGAATTGATTCAAAATTTAAGTTTTTGGAGATTTCATAAGAAGAATATGTTTAGTGTAACAGACAACTAAACTCCCCAAAAATGACGAAGATATGTGGATGGTCCTATGCAATAACGAGACAATTCAAAATTCGAAAAATAATTTTTTGTATTTTGTATTGTGTCGTTGTTGCAAGGGACATCATCGATGTGTCTTCATCTTTGTTCTTTTTGTATACCTACTATATGAATTGATCAAACTTTTATTGAGTTTTCCCACCAATTTAAAATTTTGAAACTATTCTCGTCATTATTAAACGTGCTTTTGCTGAATACGTTTTAGGTGCTAAGATTTCGAGCCTGCCTATGTATATCTTTTGCTCTTTCACATGACGTTGGCTCTGCTCGAATTACTATTTCTTTATTTCTATCTCTGTGAACGTAATTCTCTCAATTTTCTCATTCTTCTTCTTCCTGATAATTATCTACTAGAAGAGAAAAGAAGCAAAGCCATATACTTAAGATATGTAGTCTTATCTAATGTGCAATTGTCAAGTCAGACTGTGTTATTTAGTAAACGAATCGAAAAGTAATGAACCTAAGGCTGGCCGCATACATAAGATTTTCTTATCAGATTATCGGAATCGTCCGTGTCGAGGCGATTTTATACAAGGTGGTGTTGATGGCGAATTAAATTTTCGCCGCGGTACTACTGAATGTCAAAATGATGTGTTTGTTGTAAACAAGGCGAATTCATTTTACAACAAACACATCATTTTGACATTAAGACGTACCTCGGCGAAAATCTAAATTCGCCATCAACATCACCTTGTATAAATTCGCCTTGGTCCGTGTTATCGGTGTGCGGGACGTTCATTTCATTCTTTCATTTATTTCATTTTATTTTCAGCTTCAGCTTGTGTGGGAACAGACGAACCATTGCGATAATCGGATAGGAGAATCCTACGTTCTACGGCCGACCTAATAGAAATTACGCCCGTTAGTTCAGTATTTCGAGCACGCCCTTAATGACCGTTGAATCGATATCAATCAGTATATCTAAAAATTCAAAGTATTAATCGAGAAAGTACTAGTGGGTCTAATGATCCCAGTGGCGACTTAAACATATAAATTACGTTTTATAACTGCATAGAGCACAACGAATGAGCCATTTTCAAATTGCCGTTATCACCGCACTAGGCATCATTTGAAGCTAAAGTGGTCAGTTTGTAATATTTCGACTTTGTTTTTATAAAAAGTTTTATTTTTATAATCGATTGAATTTTTTTACCAACTTCTCATATACTTCGGAAAAAAATTCGAAAAGCTTTATATGCACTAAACATTAAATTTTATTGCCTTATGTTATTCGACGCCATGCATGCGAATACAAGGTCTGTAAGCCTTCGTCACGTCAGTTTCGAGGTCATTTGAAGGTCAAGTAGGGAAAATTGAAATAACCTGAAAATTCATATATATGGGGTTTTAGACTCGCTGAACCCGAATCCGTCAGGAAGAAAACTGAAGGAACAGTTATTGGAATACCTCAACAAACAGCACAGCAACATAAAATTCACAATGGAACCAGAAATGAAAGGAAGGCTAAATTACTTAGATCTGAAGATTGAAATAAATAAAAGCATCAGTAGTCTGCAATATGAAATTTTTAGGAAGCCCAAGAGCCCAAAATACAATAATAAATAATACTTCGAACCAACCTCATCAGGATAAAAAAAGCCGCCTTCAGACAGACGACCGTCTTAGAATTGAGCGAATACCACTAACAAAAGAAGGATACAAAAACGAACTGAACGCAATATA